GTTAGTTATTTTACTTGTTAGCGCCGACGTAGTTCAGAAATTCTGCCGCTTGTGGTCCCTTGACGATCAGTTTCGCGAAGGGCGTAAGGTCGATAATTCCCGCCGTTTTCATGATAAGGTCGACCTCTCTGCCCACTGGTTCATGCCAATTCGTCCTGTGAATATAAGATCCTCGTAAAAATAGAGAAAAAAACAACAACATGATAAGTAGACTGTGAGAAAAATGAAAGAAAGAATCAGTAAGACAAGTAAACTGTAATAAAAGGAGAGAAAGAATAAGTGACAAGTAAACCGTAAGAAAAAAAAAATCAACAAGACAAGTAAACTGTAAGAAAAAAAAAGGAAATAATCAAAACTCGCTAACTTAAGAGAAAAGAGAGAGAAGAATTCAACAAGACAAGTGAAGCAAGAAAAAAGAGAAATAATAAACAAGACAAATAAACCGTAAGAAAAAAGAGAAAGAATCATGAACCGTAACCAAAAGAGAGAAATAAATAACAAGAAGAAAGAAAAGAGAGAAAATCAAAGCATTAAATCATTAGAAAAAAATAACCAGAAAGTAAACAGCAAAAGAAAGAAATAATAAAAAGACAAATAAACCGTAAGAAAAAAGAGAAAGAATCACCAAGACAAGTTAAAACAAGACAAATAAACCTAAGAAAAAAAAAGAGAAAGAATCACCAAGACAAGTAAACTATAATCCACTGCCCTGTACACTATTTCATACCCCTGGGAAGCCTTCACAACTGACCCGAAGAACCTGATCTCACCTCCTAAAACTGGGACAGTATTCCGGGGTGTTTCCAGGACCGGCGAACCAGGCAGGTTGCTCCCAGCCGCTGTGGATGTGCATTCGGGCGCCGCGCTTCTCCAGGAGGTCGTGAGCACCTGATACCCGGCTGGTTGGGCGTCCTGGCAGAGAGAGAGGGGTTTGTGTGTGGTGGTATAAGGGGCGGGTTCAGGGATGTATGTCGGAGATACAGAGACACGGATCATGCATACAACTCGGTCTCGGTCTCTCATTCTCCCTCTCACTCTCTCTCTCCCTCCCTCTCTCCTCTCACTCTCACTCCCTCCTCTCCTCCCCACTCCCTCCTCCTCTCTCCCTCCCTCCTTCCCCTTCCCACCCTCCATCCTCCTCTCCCCTTCACCTCCTCCCCCCCTTCCCCCCACCTCCTCCTCTCCCACCCCTCCCTCTCTCTCTCTCCCCTATCCCTCCCCTCCCTCCCTCTCCCTTCTCTCTCTCACCCGCAAACCGCTCCTCGTGCGGTAGGACACGCGTTGTCATCCATAGGACTCTCGCGCTTGGCCATGACGAAGGCTGGTCGGGCCACTTGTTGAACCTCCGGGGTTGAACCCTCTCTCCCTCCCTCTCCCATCCCTCTTCCCATCTTCCCTCTCCCCCACTCCCTTCTTCCCATCCCTCCTCCCTCCTTCTCTCCCCCTCCTCCCCTCCCTCCCCCTCCCCTCCCTCTCCCACCTCCCTCCCCTCCTCCCCCTCCCTCCCTCCCTCTCTTTCCCCCTCCTCTCTCTCTCACCGCCAAAACCGCTCTCGTGCGGGTAGACACGGCGTTGTTCATCCCTAGGACTCTCGCCTTTGGCCTGACGAAGGCGTTGTCGGCCACTTGTTGACCTCCCGGGGTTGAACCTCCTCCCTCCCTCCTCCCTCTCTCCCACTCCCACTTCCCCATCCCTCCCTCCCTCCCTCTCTCTTCCCTCCTCCCTCCCTCCCACTCCCTCTCCCCTCCCCCCTCCCTCCCTCCCTCTTTCCCACTCCACTCTCTCTCTCTCTCTCACCGCAAACCGCTCCTCGTGCGGGTAAGACACGGCGTTGTTTCATCCCATAGGACTCTCGCGCCTTGCCATGACTCTCCCTTCTCTCTCTCTCCCTCCTCTCCCACCTACACCTCCCTCCCTCCTCCCTCTCCTCCCTCCCCCTTCTCTCCCCTTCCTCCCTCTCCCTCCCTCTCTCTTCTCACCGCAAAACCGCTCCTCGTGCGGTAGGACACGGCGTTGTTCATCCCATAGGACTCTCGCGCCTTGGCCATGACGAAGGTGTTGTCGGCCCACTTGTTGAACCTCCCGGGGTCGCACTCGTTCAAGCTCGAGGGGGGTTGGCCGTCCAGGATCCAGTCGCGGCGAGGAACTTCCCGATGCCGCCGCCGTGGACGATGCCGTAGCTGTGGGGGAGGGGGAAGAGTGAGAGGGGATGGAAGGAGGGGAAGGAGGGGGGGGGGAGGGAGGGATTGGGAAGAGTGAGAGGATGGAGGGAGTGGAGTGGGATGGGGTGGAAAGGAGGGAGGGGTGTGTGTGGAGATGGAGAAGAGGAGGGAAGGGGAGGAGGAGGGGAGGGAGGGGAGGAGAGGAAGGGAGGAAGAGGCGAAGGGGTGGGGAAGGAGGGGGAGGGAGAGGAGGGAGGGAAGGAGGGGGGGGGAGAGGGAGGAAGAGGGAGGGAGGGAGGGAGGGGAGGGAGGGAGAGGAGGGAGAGAGAAAGAGTTTTTTGTTTTTATACTTTTCAGTGCTTCAAACCATATATTTTCGAGCTAAAGATCATATTTTTTAAAGGGTATTTTTTGCTCCAAAAATATACACAATAATCTCGAGAATGACAAAACTCTCACTAATTTTGCATGTTTATAACCTGCACAAAAAGACATGCATTACTACATTATTCTCTCTCTCTCTTCTCATTTATAGTTCCAACTACAGAAAAGAATAGAAAGAAAAAAAAGAAAGAAAAAAGCCTTTTTTACCTACGCTAAGAATACCATCAAAAACACCACATAGGAACCCCATTCCTCACCCAAACCCAGCAGCTATCCACATATTGGGCAGCATATCCGGCCCAATCAACGGCAGAACATCCGGTGTGTATGTAATGGGTCCGTTGACGACACTCTGTATGTTGGCGTGGGCGAAGCAAGGTACCAGCTCCATGGCGACCTCCAGGTGGGGCTCCAGGCGGTCGAGGTCGGGTTCAAAGAGCTCCTTGCCGAAGCCTGGAGGGGGAGGGGAGAGGGGTGAGTGCCAGGGGAGAGGAAGGGGTCTTGAAGGTGCTGTCAACACTAGCACTTTTTCCGTCAATTTTTTTAATAACTTTAATAACTAATTTTTAATAACGTCAATTTTAACATAAATACAAACATTCTCGAATATAGCTCTTGATTTGACTATTCTTGGGTGAAAAAGTTGACGGAAAGGTTTTCAGACGGAAACGATCATTGTCGTCTGACTGGAAAATCGACAATTCGCTCAAAAAATGGACAAAATTTCAGAAAATTGTAAAAAAATTGACGGAAAAAGTGCTATTGTGACAGCACCTTGAGGAAGCTTTGGTGCTCTGCTGTTTTGGCTTATACCGTATTTTGTAAAAAAGAAAGAAAGGAAGGAAGAAAGAAATCGTGTTTGCTGTTCTCTTGTGCTGCTCTTTTGAATGTTATTTAGTTCAATATCCTTTTCCCGAGGTAATCACAGCCATAACAATAACTGCAGAATGAACTTAGACGTAAACAACCTACAAGAGAGTCTATACATTGTGCAGTCACAGTAATACAACAACAGCAATAAGTACAACAACAAAGCATACAACAATCAAATAATAAATAATACTCGAGTAGTCGTTGCATCAATAAATGAGAATCCATGCGGATAATAATAATAATAATAATCGCCAATAGTAAATAATAAAATAACAATAAATAAATGGAAAATGAACCCCAGGCGCCACCCACCCGGAGGAACTCGATCCGTGACCCAGTCGTTGCACTGTCTCATGGTCTTCTCGCTCTCGTAAGGTCCGATGAGGAGGCCGTCTCGTTCCATGCGGAGGTAGAAGGACCCCTCGAGGTGCCGCAGGACGGGGATCTCCTTCTTCAGCGCCTTCACCTCCGGGACTGTCGACGTCACGAGGTACTGGTGGTGGTTCGGGACGAGGGGGAGGTCCGAGCCGGCCAGCTGAGCGACCTCCTTGGCCCAGAATCCTGCAACGGAAGGTCGATCGTCTGGGTCGGGAGGTTAAGTATGGAAAGAAGTGTTCGAACCTAAAACTTCAGTGGTGTTCGAACCTAAAACTGTTCGAACCTAAAACTTCAGTGGTGTTCGAACCTAAAACTTCAGTGGTGTTCGAACCTAAAACTTCAGTGGTGTTCGAACCCAAAACTCTCGAAAAAACTTCAGTGGCGTTCGAACTAAAACCTTCAAATCGAACCCAAAACTTCAGTGGTGTTCGAACCAAAACTTCATGATGTTCGAACCCAAACCTTCAATGGTGTTCGAACTTCTCGGTGTTCGAACCCAAAATTTCAATGATGTTCGAACCCAAACCTTCAATGGTGTTCGAACCCAAAACTTCAATGGTGTTCGAACCCAAAACTTCAATGGTGCTCGAACTTAAAACTTCAGTGGTGTTCGAAAAGATAACAAGATTTATTACGTACTTATAGATCATGTATTTATAGATATACAAGTCCTCTCGAGCGATTACCTGCCGCGTTCACTACCCTGTTGGCCAGAATGTCTCCCTGAGGCGTCGTCACGACCCACCGACCGTCCTCACGAAGCCGCAGCGCCGTCACCCCCGTCGCCTGCAGGATCCTGGCGCCGAACCTGTCGATAGCGCCCATTTTTGTTTATCATAGACACTGATTTTTATCGTCGAAGTTCAAGATATTACTTTCCCTGTAGACAAACGTATTGTATTTTTTTTTTCTTAATAATGATATTAGATACTTTGAATGCTTCATAATGACTATGATAATCTCACACAAAATGTTTAAATATCAGACGGACTCCCATAGCTCGTGATGACAAAATTCACACAAACGTCCAAATTACGCATCACACACACACACACACACACACACACACACACACACACACACACACACAACACACACACACACACACACAAAAAAAAAAAAAAAAAAAAAATGCACACTCACACTCAAACATTAACACCCAGACACACACTACACCCCAGCCCATCGTCCTTTCGTCCTACAACAGACAAACAACCAGTTTATTAAACTTTACCGAAGTCTGACCCAATTAATATACACACATACGAACATACACGTCCCTAATAAATACATATCTATCTACACATTACATATACATTTATCTATCTATCTTCTCAGTAGATATGCATATCTAGACTGACAGACACATATTTCTGTGCAATATATATGTTTCTTTCTGTGCAATAATGATAGAAGTAATATTTATAAATAAAATTTCTGAACAATAATGATACAAGTAATATTTATAAATAATATTTCTGCCAAGTAATATTCATAAATAATATTCCTGTGCAATAATGATACAAGTAATATTCATAAATAACATTTCTGTGCAATAATGATACAAGTAATATTTATAAATAATATTTCTGTGCAATAATGATACAAGTAATATTCATAAATAATATTTCTGTGCAATACTGATACAAGTAATATTCATAAATAACATTTCTGTGCAATAATGATACAAGTAATATCTATACATAACATTTCTGTGCAATAATGATACAAGTAATATTTATAAATAATATTTCTGTGCAATAAATATACAAATAATATTCATAAATAACATTTCCGTGCAATAATGACACAACTAATATTCATAAACAACATTTCTGTGCAATAACGACACAAGTCCGCATCCCGAATACTCATAAGGTCGAACCTCGCATAGTTTCAACCGACCAAAAGACCCTTACTTGCGCGCTCCTTTGGCAATGGCCTGCGTTAAGGAGTAGGGGTCGACGTGGCCATCGTACGGTGTGTAGAGACCCATCAGCACCTGCCGGGGGAACGGGCTTTAGTACACGGTGTAGGTGTAGGTGTAGGTGTGTGTAGGTGTAGGTGTAAGTGTGGTGTAGGTGTAAGTGTAGGTGTAGGTGTAAGTGTAAGTGTAAGTGTGTAGGTAGGTGTTCTCAGGAAGTGTGTAAGTGGTCGGTCTATGTAGGTGTAAGTGGTAGGGAAATTAGGTGTAGGTGTTCTAAGTGGTGTGGTGGTGTGTAGGTGTTCTAAGGAAGTAGGTGTAAGTGGTCTAGGAAATGTAGGGTGTAGGTGTTCTCAGGAAGTAGGTGTAAGTGGTCTAGGGAAATTAGGGTGTAGGTGTTCTAAGTAAATAGGTGTAGATGGTTTTAAAAGGCAGGTGGTGGTGTTCTAAGAAAGTAGGTGTAGATGTTCTAAAAAAGGTGTAGATGTTTTGAGTAAGTAGGTGTAAATGTTCTAAGAATGTAGGTGTAGATGCTCTAAACAAGTAGAAGTGTGTCCTATGAAAGTAGGCGTAGATGTTTAAAAAAACAAGTGTATATATTCTAAGAAATTAAGTGTAGATGTCCTAAGAAAGCAGGTGTATATGTTCTAAGAAAATGCTGTTTATACATTTATGCACACTGTAATAAAGACACTCTGTAATAAAGAAATAGAGTTTTTTGACCTGTTATTTTATCCTTTGTTTTTTCTTGTCGTTCGCATTTCGTATAACGGTAAAACACCTACAACTACTCTGTATTAAATGGTCTGTTCCCATACTACTTACAATGTCAACGTTAGCAATAAATACAAGTCTTTTGGCCTGTCTTTTGATCATTTGGTTCTTCTTCTCGTTCACATTTCGTAAAACAACAAAACGTCCATAATTACTATGTATTAAAAGGTCTCTTCCTATACTACTTAAACGTTAGCAATAAATACGTCTTTTGGCCTGTTTTTAAATCATTTGGTTCTTTTTTACAAAACAATTACTACTCTGTTTTTAAAGGGTTATCTTGGGCACGAGCGTAATATCTCAATTTTTTTTTTATAATTTGGTACTTGTCGTTCACATTTCGTATAACAGTAAAACATCCACTACTACTATGTACCAAAAGGTCTCTTACCATACTACGTGTTTCTTACACTGTCAACGTTAGCAATAAGCACGAGTCTTTTGTCCTTTTTTATCATTTGGTTCTTCTTGTCATTCATATTTCGTAAACCAACAAAACACCCATTACTACAATGTATGAAAAGGTCCCTTCCCATCCTACTTACGTTGTCGATGTTCGTAATGTTCTTTTTGATCGTTTATCTTATATCATCTCGTATAACAGAGTATAAAACACCCATTGCTACTGTGTATCAAAAGGTCTTTAGCTATACGTTTTTTGGACTGGTTTTTAATCATTTGGTTCTTCTCTTACAAAACATCCATTGCTACTCTGTATTAAAAGCTCTCTTCCCATACTACTTACGTTGTCGACGTTAGCAATAAATACGTCTTTTGGCCTGTTTTTTTCTTTTAATTTGGTTCTTCTTGTCTTACAAAACACCCATTACTACTCTGTATTAAAAGCTCTCTTCCCATACTACTCGTACTTAAGTTATCGATGTTAGCAATAAATACGTCTTTTGGCCTGTTTTTTAATCATTTAGTTTCTTCTTGTCTTACAAAACACCCATTACTACTCTGTATCAAAAGCTCTCTCCCCATACTACTTACGTTGTCGATGTTAGCAACAAATACAAGTCTTTTGGCCTGTTTTTTCTTTTTTTTTCTTTTAATAATTTGGTTCTTCTTGTCTTACAAAACACCCATTACTACTCTGTATTAAAAGCTCTCTTCCCATACTACTCGTACTTACGTTGTCGATGTTCGCAATGGGCACGAGGTCTTTGACCTGTTATTTTATCATTTGGTTCTTTTTGTCGTTCACATTTCGTATATCAGTAAAACACCTATTACTACTCTGTATTAAAAGGTCTATTCCCATACTACTCGTACTTACGTTGTCGATGTTCGCAATGGGCACGAGTTCTTTGACCTGTTCAGGAGTGACGAGACACTGGGGGGCTTCGTGGTGGCCGTGGCGGGACATCTGGTACCTGCGGGAGACGCCCTTTTCACACTCTCGTCTCTTAGCTAAAATCTAGAGAATTCTTTCATGTTTGCCAGAGGATGTCTACACTAACGTGATTCCTTAAAACATAATGAAAAAATGTTTGTCAGAGAACATCTACTCTAACGTGTTTCCTTAAAACATAAAGAAAAAATGCTTGTCAGAGAACATCTACTCTAATGTAATTCCTTAAAACATAGAGAAAAATGTTCTGAGGTTTCGAAATATTTATGAAACATAGAAGAAAATTATTAACGTTTTATTGTTGTTTCCATTATCTGGAACTAACTTATAGGACTAACATAGAACATCTAGCCTAGCGTAATTAACAAAGAACATCTAGACTAACGTAAAAAAAAAAAAAAATGCTACATAATATTTATCTAACACAGAAAAAAATAATCAACGTTTTATTGTTGTTTCCATTAAGTATCCAGAACTAACTTACAGGACTAACTCTCCTGAAACATCCTTATTATTATTATTAGCATTATCAGAAGCGAAAGGGAGGTGTGGTGTCTCCTCACGTCACTCACTTCATCTCGTCAACTCGCGTGGGCGTTGTGGCGATGCGAAGTGACCCAGGAAGGTGAAGGTTAATCTCCTGGTCGGTTTCTGCTGCTATGTGGGCGTACATATTCAAGCTGGAAATATCCGGTGGAGAAGTTAACGTACGTCTTTCTTGGAGAAAAGGTGAGTATTGATATATGTATTTCTTGGAGGAAAAATGAGTATTGATATTATTTATACGTGGGAATAGGAAAAACAGCTACAATAAGGAATGAAAATCAATCGTTACGTTTCGAATTCTTCACGAGTTCCTCTTCAGGTGAATACTTGTCCGAAACGGTGAAGTGTTCGTCTGAAGAGGAACTCGTGGTGTCCGAAATGTTAGGATTTATTTCTATTTCTGCGCCTATTTTCCTTTTGCATTTTTGTGTACACGTTACTGTATTCGTGCTTTTCATTATATAAACATATTACGAAACATATAGTATTAGTTTGTGTTCATCATATATACATATTACGAAACATATAGTATTATTTCTTTTCAGTACGGATAGCGTTATATATATATACATATTACGACACATAATTATTTCTTTTCAGTACGGAGAGCGTTATATATATACATATTACGACACATAATTATGTCTTTTCAGTATGCATTGCGCTACCTGTAATAATGTATTCTTTTCAGATTGACGACGCCCTGGAAATTCGTGGTGAGTCCCGCCGCGTGCCACGTCGACCCGGCCGTCAGCTCCGACTTCTCCAGGAGCACCACGTCCTTTTGGCCCTGCGGGAGGAAGGGGACAGTGAGACCCAACGTGCAAAGGCTCATCGGTGACCTCATATTCACTCTGCTTCATGATCGCAGCAATTAAGTGATGAGATCATATCCTGAACCGCTGTTCGGGATCAGATATCGTTTGGGCTTACGGGGTATCATAAAAAAAGAAAGAAAACACACTCATACATACACACACACGCGCGCGCGCGCGCGCACTCACACACTCACTCAAATTCACACATACATATATACATCCATATACATACTACCACACACCACACACACACACACACACACACCCACACACACACACACACACACACACATACATATATATATTATATATATATATAATATATATTATATTATATATATATATAATATATATATACCACACCACACACACACACACACACACACACACACACACACACACACACACACACATATATATATATATATATATATTATATATTATATATATATACATATATACACACATATATACACATATATACATATATACATATATAATACACACACACACATATCCACACACACAAACATATAAATAAACCATTTCACCATAACCCAGTAACACACCTGCCCAAGAGCCTGCCATAAACCCACTTAAAACCCCCACCCACTTTTCCCAAGCGGCCGCATGACACCACCCGAGGCAAGTGACCCACCTGGCGGGCCAAATGGTAGGCGATGCTCGTGCCCGCGATGCCGCCCCCGATGATGATGGTCTCGGCTCGTTCGACATTCTGGGCTGCGGTCTGGGAGGGGAGAAGGAAGAAGAAAATGAATTGGAAAAG